TAAATTGTTTGTTTATGGATAAACTTTGATGTATTGTTTTAGATATGGGCCAATGGCTGTAATAAATCAAATCAAATCAAGCTTCTGCGAAGATACTGAAGCTTTATGACGGAAGTTATGGTAACCTTACTCTTTGCTTTCAGACTACTCAGATTAAAGAGCTTTCCATCTTTCGATACATGATTTCTACCCTGGTGGGGAGTTTCCCTTTGACAATGTATAGGATCATGACAATGAAAATACAGTGGAACCTCGGGTTAAGTACTTAATTCGTTCCGGAGGTCCGTTCTTAACCTGAAACTGTTCTTAACCTGAAGCACCACTTTAGCTAATGGGGCCTCCTGCTGCTGCCGCGCCACTGGAGCACGAGTTCTGTTCTTCTCCTGAAGCAAAGTTCTTAACCTGAAGCACTATTTCTGGGTTAGCGGAGTCTGTAACCTGAAGTGTATGTAACCTGAAGCATATGTAACCCGAGGTACCACTGTAGTAAATAGAGTTGGGGCAATAACGCGACCCTGTTTAACACCTGATCCCACTGTGAATGGTTCACTTTGAAAGCCACTGTTATCTGTGATAGTTGCTGTCATATTATCATGGAGGAGCCAAAGGATGTTCACAAATTTATCTGGGCAGCCAGTTTTCAGAAGGACAGTCCACAGGGCATTACGATTTACAGTCTTGAAGGCCCCCATATACAGGGGTTGGTTTTTTCCTCTGCATTTTTCTTGACGCTTTCAAGCAGCAAGAAAATCATGTCCACTGCCCCCTTGGAAGGTTGAAAGCCATTTTGGGATTCAGGAAGGGTAGCATTGGATTTGGTTAGGAGATGGTTTCCCAAGATCCTTCCAAGAGTTTTGCCGACCGCAGCTAATAAAGAGGTGCCTCAATAGTTTCCACAATCCGCTTGATCACCTTTAAAAAAAAAAAAAAGGTTGCTAATTTTAGCATCCCTGAAGTCTGCCGGGATCTCCTCTCTCTCCCATATTTTTTCAATGAGCTTGTGAAATTGTTGTGTAAGTTCAGTTCCACCCACTTTGAAGACTTTGGCAGGTATCCCATCAGGTCTGCTGGCTTTGTTGCATTTCATTTGGTTAATAGCTGTACACAACTCTCCCAGATTTGGAGATACTGCAAGCTCATCTGTAATTTGTTTCTGTGGAATTTGTGAGAGAACCTTAGGAGCTATGGGGGAGTTGCGGTTAAGGAGATGCTGGTAGTGTTCTTTCCAGCACAATGCAATAGCTTCTTTATCTTTTAGAAGTGTGGTACCGTCTGTTGAGCATAGGGAACATATGCCATGATTTATTGGCCCATAGATGGTCTTTGTGGCTTTAAAGAAACTTTGTGTATCATGAGTGTCAGCTAAGTGCTGGATCTCATGGTGTTTCTTAGTTTGATATCCAATAGTTTATTCACAGGCTGCAATAATAGATGTCTTTAGTTTGGTCCAGTGTTCCTCGATGTTATCAGGGAACTGAAAGCAGGTGGTCCTTAAGAGTCATTTGGAAGCAATCCCACTTAACAGGATCTTGAAGGGCTTGAATATTCATTTTGCATCTTGGTTTCCTCCCTTGAAGCTTGCATTGAGGTATAATCTTAATAGCCATTGTGGAACGTATTAATCTGTGGTCTGTCCAGCAGTCGTCGGCACTCATCATAGCTCTGGTAAGGAGCACATCATGATGCTCTTCAGCTCTTAAAATTACATAGTCTAAGAGGTGCCAGTGGTTTGACCAGGGGTGCCTCCATGGTTGTTGTAAGATTTATTTTTTTGTTGAAGGAGTGTGTTGGTAATAACAAGGTTGTGCACTGCACATATAGTCAAAAGTAATTGTTGCCAATTCCTTCTTTCCCAATAGTCCCAGGCCACAGATCAAAATCTCACCCAACTCTTGCATTAAAATCACCCAGGATTTTATCTTCCTTCGGCGTCTCTGATAGAATGGCATCCAGCTAAGAATAAAAATTTTCTTTAATGTCTTCATCGGCATCCAGTGTCGGTGCATAAGCACTTAAAATAGTAGTCTGTTGGTTTGGGGCAAGTTTTATTTGAAGGGTTGAAAGTCACTCATTAATGATGGCAGGGACTTCTGACAAGAGCTTCACAAGATCGTTTTTGATAGCAAAGCCTACTCCATGTATTCAACGTTCCTGTTCAGACAGACCTTTCCAGAAGAATGTGTATCCTCCTTTTTCTTCCTTCAGTTGTCCCTCTCCAGCTCTTTTGAGTTTCTTGAAGCACTGCACTGTTAAAACATCACAACTCTCTTGCAATGATGGCAGTCCTGCATTTGGGGCTCCCATTATCTGTGTTATCCAGCAAAGTTTTGTTCCAAAGTTGAATTTACATAGGTAGGTGCTTCTGGGTGCAGATTTTAAGCATCTTTTTTTAATTATATCATCCCTCCAAATAACAATTGCAATTTTTCTGCCCCAGGCGCCAAAATGATTTGAACCTTGTCCTGGAGAAAAGCTGGAAGTATGGATGCAGACTGAGGTCACATCCACACCATAGATCTAAAGCACATTGCTTCCCCCAAAGAATACTGGGAACGGTAGCTTGTTAAGGGTGCTGGGAGTTGCAACTCTATAAAGAGTAAGCTACAGTTTGGAAGAAGCCATCTGCTTTAAATGTATGGTTGTAGATGTGGCCAGAAGTGCACTAAATGTGATTCATCATATTTAACATAACTGTCACATTTTAACAAAATAATAACAATCTGACAATACAGCAAATTATATATTGCAATGTCTAAATGAAGCTACCCTGCTGGGGATGGTGAAGGAATATATAAGCTACTGTTATTGCTAGCAGGAAAGGCCATCTTAGAGTTTTCTCATTCATCGAATGATAATATTCTCCAAAATTGACTTCTAGGAGCCAGTTTCAGAATGGCGCTGCAGAAGTATTTAATTATTATTATTATTATTATTATTATTATTATTATTATCTGTAAGATGACTAAATACATATATAATAATAACACTAGAGCCAGTGTGGTATAGTGGTTAAGAGCGGTGGACTCGTAATCTGGTGAACCAGGTTTGATTCCCCGCTCCTCCACATGCAGCTGCTGTGTGACCTTGGGCTAGCCACACTTCTTTGAAGTCTCTCAGCCTCACTCACCTCACAGAGTGTTTGTTGTGGGGGAGGAAGGGAAAGGAGAATGTTAGCCGCTTTGAGACTCCTTAGGGTAGTGATAAAGCGAGATATCAAATCCAAACTCTTCTTCATAAGGACCAAGCTTAAGGCCAATCAGACATAATGCTGAAGGCATAAAAAGGGATGGAGTCCACATGAAAGCAAGGGGCTGGAGGGATTCTGCATGTCATTTCCAGTCTCATAACCCTAGTTTTGCATCTTTACCAGCCCTTGGTGATTGCTGATATACATCTCCAGCCCCAAAGCCCAGGCAGCAGGGCTGAGAAAGACCTCAACCGAAAATTCTGCAAAATCACCACTAGCCAGAGCTGTCAGTGCCAGGCTAGACAGTCCCATTGACCCAGCCCTGCAGAAGGCATCCTCGCGCTGCAACCCAGCTGACCGCCACAGACTGCTATGTGTGCATTTCTGCAACTTACCTAAATGAATGAAGCCATTCCTCTCTCTCACACACAAAAAAAAAACCCTGAAAGAAAATTCTTGACCATCTGTTTGGTTTTATTATTATTATTATTATTTCTCCAGGCTGAGAAAGCAATCATGGCCAATCCTCCAGCGAACTATGGAAGTCAGGTTTCATTTCTCACTTTTCGGCAGCAATAAACTCTACAGCACAAAGTAGGCCAAGGATCCTAAAATCTGGATACTCCCCTGCTCCTATGGGGCCCTGATGTTAGGCGGCTGCCAGACAGACTATATTTTCCAGTCCAAAAACATTATGGGTGGGATCCAAGGCCATCCACAGTGTTGCACACACGCACCGGGGCTTGACTGATCCCCCCCCTTCTGTAGCAAGTTCTCTCCCCACACCCCCTGCTGCTCCTGAAGACTGTGGGATTCTCCGAAGTGGGAATAAATGTGGCACAAGGCGCTGCGGCCAGGAAGCAAACCCAACAAACTGCCACCACTCCAAGCAGATGTGCACAGGAGTCTGTTTGGGTCTCGTACAATTCATTTTATGACCATTTAAGGAAAGCCACAAAATGAGGCTTGACATTTTAAAGGCTTGCATTGGGGCTTTCCGTTTACAAGGTGCCGACCTCATTACCTTTACTGTTTTTCAAAGGTGATAAGGAACGATTTGGCTAAGACTGGGGGAAATGGAAGCTTGTGGATTTCATTAAGGGTCCCACTCGTGATTCCCTGACGATTGCCATGACAGAAATGTTGGCAAGGCCCTCACCGCATCGTTGTCTGCGACGCAGTTATGTACGCAGGTGACCTACAGGAGCATCCTTTCACCTGCTGAAAGCCCAGGTGACTTGGTCAGGAAGTCAGCTGACCTTAAGCATAGTCTCCAACTGTGGCAAGAATGCCAGGACTGTCACGAAAACCCTTAAGCTGTCACACAGAATCCCCAATTCCTATTTTTGTTAAAGACATGCTAACTGGAAATGGCTTCCTGTTAGGAGAAGTGGGGCGAAGCGAGAGTTGGGGCTGAGGCTGAATGTCACTTTGCTGTCAAGTGTGCAGATAAAAGTGTGTGTGTGTGTGTGTGTGTGAGAGAGAGAGAGAGAGAGAGAGAGAGAGAGAGAGAATGAAAGAACTCAACTAAGCCACATTAAAGCTACACCAGAGTTTAGATCCCACCAGTATAGCTGGGAACCAATACATAGACTTTGAAGTCCTACATTTTCTGACTGCTGACAGGCAATTTTTAGAATTGTTGTTGTTGTTTAAGCCATGTTGTAAGCCACCTTGTGCTATAGAAGAGCAGGGGATGAAATGTTTTAAATTCAAAAAGCAAGTATAGATGGGGTCAACCCAATAAACCTTCATAGAGTCGCTCTCTGTATACAGTCCCTGCCCCCTCACAATAATCTGGTCCATCACTTACCTAGTTTGCTGGGGCCTTGCTCTCTTTGGTGAATTGAGCTCACCAGAGACAATAGGCTCGCTTTTTCTTGGGGTACATTCCATGAAATTTCCAAACTATTTGCTTTTCCATATTGAAGAACTGCCACCTGAGTTGTAGTTTGACCTGGGGAAGGGGGTGGGGACAACATAAAAATTATTGAAGGAAAAGGCATCAAGAAGTTAAAGTGGTAGAACGTATGTAGTCTGATTTTTAATGGTTTGCACCCACGAGACATTTAAATAGTTCGGGTAGCTAGAAATGAGAGGACACTTGGATCTATGCTATATTCATTTATAACACTTGGTATCGGCCACTTCACGGGACGCAGGTGGCGCTGTGGGTTAAAGCCTCAGCACCTAGGACTTGCCGATCGAAAGGTCGGCGGTTCGAATCCCTGCGGCGGGGTGCGCTCCTGTCGTTCGGTCCCAGCGCCTGCCAACCTAGCAGTTCGAAAGCACCTTCGGGTGCAAGTAGATAAATAGGGACCGCTCACTAGCGGGAAGGTAAACGGTGTTCCGTGTGCTGCGCTGGCTCGCCAGATGCAGCTTGTCACGCTGGCCACGTGACCCGGAAGTGTCTGCAGACAGCACTGGCTCCCGGCCTATAGAGTGAGATGAGCGCACAACCCTAGAGTCTGGCAAGACTGGCCCGTACGGGCAGGGGTACCTTTACCTTTTTATCGGCCACCTCGCTGGATTATGGAGAAAGCTAGAGAGTTCCAGAAAAGACATCTATTTCTGCTTCATTGACTATGCAAAAGCCTTTGACTGTGTCGACCACAGCAAACTATGGCAAGTTCTTAAAGAAATGGGAGTGCCTGATCACCTCATCTGTCTCCCAGTGATGTATGAAAGTGAGACCTGGACCATAAAGAAGGCTGAACGCCGAAGAATTGATGCTTTTGAATTATGGTGCTGAGGAGAGTCTTGAGAGTCCCATGGACTGCAAGAAGATCAAACCTATCCATTCTTAAAGAAATCAGCCCTGAGTGCTCACTGGAAGGACAGATCCTGAAGCTGAGACTCCAATACTTTGGCCACCTCATGAGAAGAGAAGACTCCCTGGAAAAGACTCTGATGTTGGGAAAGATGGAGGGCACAAGGAGAAGGGGACGACAGAGGACGAGATGGTTGGACAGTGTTCTCAAAGCTACCAGCATGAGTTTGACCAAACTGCGGGAGGCAATGAAAGACAGGAGTGCCTGGCATGCTCTGGTCCAAGGGGTCACAAAGAGTTGGACACGACTAAACGACTAAACAACAAATCGGCCACCTAGTTCCCAGATTAACTTAGATCTGCCATTCAGAAGAAAGTTATTTTGGTTTGTGTTTGTTTTTCTACAGGGGGGACAAATGGCGCTCTTATCTGCAGCCTGCAGCGCTACAGACCACTCTCACGACGCTACCAAGATGGTGCTGTTACATGTTGCGGCAGATTAAGCCCTGTCTGAGAATTTCCTAATTTACACTCCTCTGCTTTGAAGTCATAGTGTTCATTTTTACTAAAGCATGTTTGTATTCCTCATATGTCAAATATTGGTTTGCAGATTTTTTTTATCAAAGCAGAATGGTTTTAGCAATATCTAATGCAAACAGACCAAACAATTTATGTTGAAAAATTCTATTTGCATAGATATTACATGGGCATGTTAAAACCTAAGTTGCCGATTAATTTATATTTCTGATATGTGTCTTTACAATAAAGTGGGATAGTACATTTCTCTTTGCTTTAGAAGACCTTGGATTTGAAAACAGCTCATGGTTTGAAAACAGCTCAGGAATTCAAAGTTGCTTAGCAGGAAAGCAATAACTTGTTGGTTTGCCACTAAGTGTCTGTCCTCTTTAACAAGGTCAGAAAAAAATAGTAGAAAGCTGTATATGTGGTGTAGTGGTTAAGAGCGGTAGACTCGTAATCTGTTGGACCAGGTTCAATTCCCCACTCCTCCACATGCAGCTGCTGGGTGACTTTGGGCTAGTCACACTTCTCTTAAGTCTCTCAGCCCCACTCACCTCACAGAGTGTTTGTTGTGGGGAGGAAGGGAAAGGAGATTGTTAGGTGCTTTGAGACTCCTTCGGGTAGTGATAAAGCGGGATATCAAATCCAAACTCCTCTTCTTCTTTGTGCAAGAAGAGATGCTGCGTCTGGTTGGGTGGATTCAGGTGTCTGAGCTAGCCCAACATCTGCCTTGAGTTTGGCATGTGCCAAACGAGCAGAAAATCTGGTGCAGCTTGCAGTGATGATTGCCATAATCGGAGGCCTCGGCCCAGTATACCTGAAGGAGCGTCTCAACCCAAATCACTCTGCCTGGATGCTGAGGTCCAGCGCCAAGGGCCTTCTGGCGGTTCCCTCACTGCGAGAAGCAAAGCTACAGGGAACCAGGCAGAGGGCCTTCTCGGTAGTGGCGCCTGCCCTGTGGAAAGCCCTCCCATCAGATATCAAAGAGATAAACAACTACCTGACATTTAGAAGACATCTGAAGGCAGCCCTGTTCAGGGAAGTTTTTAATGTGTGACATTTTAATGTATTTTTAATCTTTTTTGGAAGCCGCCCAGAGTGGCTGGGAAAACCCAGCCAGATGGGCGGGGTACAAATAATAAATTATTATTATATCATTATTACTAAGTGAAACTGTTCTGATTATTTATTTTACGAAGGTGGAATCCAACTGGTGCTTTTGTGCTCATGGAAGAACTTTTCATCCAGCCGAGACATCCACTAATGAGAAAGAAGCAAATGGGTTTTTAACCCAGAATCTCCCCTCTCACTGCACCTGTCTAAATGCCCCTGATAATCATCTCAAAAGTGTTATGTACTGATGTTCTCACCCTGGGCCAGGAGGGGGATACTGTAGATAGTTATGCAAATGAAGGATCAAAAGTGACGTTCAGTGATTGGATAGTTTTAGAAAGTTGCAACAGTTATGTTGTTCTGGAGCTCTATATAAGCAGGCTGACTGAGCTCCTCAGTTCAGTTCTGTTCTGGCCTCTGAATAAACAAGAGCTGTTTGAAGAATCGCTGTGTTGTCTGATATGTTCGCCCACAACTTAACAAAAGAACTTGGGAAACCTCCTGAGCAGTGTGGAAGACGGCACTGGGGGCTGAGGTTGAAGGAGGAGAATGGGCAAAGTTTGCCGTCCCACCTCCTTTTGCTATTGGATGCCTCAAATGGATCAGATCCCTTCCATGGGTGCAAAGGTGTCAATACCACCCTAAATGTATATCCCATCCTTCAATATAAAACCTTTCTAGGTGGTTGATATGTGGGGAAATCTATGTAGACTGAACCACACTTTGATATGTATCTCTTGTATTAGATTTTATCCATGATTTGTTCATCTCTGAACATGATTTAGTTCTAATATGTGGGATTTCTGGTACAGAACTCTGTATATATATATATATATATATATATATATATATATATATATATAAATTTTCCAACATAAATAAAAAACAATACAATAAACAATACATAAACACACAAACATATAAACACGTATAATTTCACAACCTCTTTTTCATAAACCTTACTTCCCCGACTTCCCCATACCTCCCCCTTCTGCATCCCTATTTCATGGTACAGAACTCTGTTAACGGATAATCATTTGTAAGCTTCTTTACATAATATTTCACCAAAAATTATTTGAATTCCAATTAACATTAAATTGTTTGTGTGCTTGGTGTAAAAATAACCAAGAATGTCACAGGTAGTTTAAATGCTTTCCTTTTTTATTGTGTTTTAACATTTGTGACCAGTCTCAAGAATTTATCTGTGACTTGGATAATTGTTTTCTGTAACAATATTTTGAAAATCCATCTGTAGCAATACACGGTAATAATGTATTTTCAACCCAACATTTTATCACCATTTGCAGGGGTGACAAATGCCCCAGAAATCTCAGTTTTCAAGAAGATGATTTCATACTAATCAATATCATACAGCGTCACGTGTAGAACAAAAATTATTTTCAATTTCCCATTCTCAAGCTTAACAATAATGAAATTGCGAATGCACCCCAGTACTTCACTGGCTATTTCTGCTTTTGCAATTTCTTTCAGGATAATCAAATTTCTCAGAGGGACAAAGAAAATTATTACTGTTTGCAGTGCTTATTTTAAAATTATGTTAAAAATTCATTTACACTTTGCCTTCAACTGTTTATAGGGTTGTGCTGTTTCCTGAGGCAAAGCAGGGGACCTCAGCTCCCAGGGGTGAATGTTGGTTCCTCCATAGCAGGGGTGGGAAAATTCTGGCACTTTGGCTACATTTGCTGCAGAATTTCAATTGTTTGTTTTTTAAACACACATACCTGCTTATGTCTATGACAAATCAAGACTCTTTCTGGTTCACCACTTCAGTAGTCCCCTCATGAATACAATGAACATGGACCCCAAACTTCTAAAACAATTGAGTAAATATATGGCACTCACCAACATTGCTGTGCTCAATAAACGCTTTCACAAATTGTTTCATTTCCTCAAATTCTGATTTGCTAACCTTTCGAGCTCCCATCCAGAAGAAATATGACATCCATTGGTTTGCTGCAGGTTTCTAAAGATTTTTTTAAAAGGAAAAGAAAAAGCTTGTAATTCTTTTTAAAAATGTATACAAAGCAACTGTTGATAGAAAGCAACTGCATGATTTCACAGAGAGAACACAAGAGGTTAAAAACATTATTGAGGGAATATTGAGGGAATACATTCCCTGTCAACTCGTCTAGTACAGAATCCCTGCATGCCTCACACAGAACTGCAGAATAGCTCTAGCATTCACACCATGCTCAGATTTTGGGCCCTGCTGTCACCTCATGTCAATAAAAAACACAACCCATTTCCCATGTAGGAAAATTGCAGGGAGAGTATACAGTGGTACCTTGGGTTACATACGCTTCAGGTTACATAGGCTTCAGGTTACAGACTCCGCTAACCCAGAAATAGTGCTTCAGGTTAAGAACTTTGCTTCAGGATGAGAACAGAAATCGTGCTCCGGTGGCACGGCAGCAGCGGGAGGCCCCATTAGCTAAAGTGGTGCTTCAGGTTAAGAACAGTTTCAGGTTAAGTACGGACCTCCGGAACGAATTAAGTACTTAATGTTCCAGAAGGCCTGCAAATGTTCCAGAAGGCCTGCAAATGCCGTCCTGGCAGTCAAGATAACCCTGGGACTAATTGTCATTTTGGTGCAAGAATGAGCTCACCTGTTTTGAATCTTTGAACCCTTAGTTTTGGTTCAGCTGGTCAGGAGAGGGGAGGCTTCTCACACTGGCTGCCTGTCAGCTTCCACCTTTATCTATGGCAACCTCGGCCCTCCAGATGTTTTGGTACTACAACTCCCATGATCCCTAGCTAACAGGACCAGTGGTCAGGGATGATGGGAATTGTAGTCCCAAAAACATCTGGAGGGCCGAGGTTGCCTCTGCCTGATCTAAGTGATGGAAGTAGACTGGGAAGAGGCCTCTATGCCAGGGGTGAGTTAATAGGGCTACTGGTGCCAACTTACATAGCTTCCTATGCATATAAGTAATGCTGAACGTATTAGCACCTCACGGATAAGTCATGCCAACTGCTTGGTTGCATCTATCTCATTTGTAGCCATGCTCACACAGGTAAGCACTAGAACTGGCCATTCAGGCATTTTTGACCCCCTTCTTTGGGATCCCTGCACCAAACCACTCACACAAGCTCTCCTTTGGGCCTGCAGATCAAGACAACAGAGAGATGAATCTTTACAAAAACCAGCCAGAAGCAACAGCTCAAGGGGGTAGGGTGGGAATGGTATGGCAGTATCTGTGCTATCCTACCACCCTGAACTCTCTGTGGCCTGCTCAAATGTATTAGAGAAGATGCAATCTATTGGCTCCAGAGTTTAGCAGGGAAAAATGGATTAAATTTTTAAGAGGGTGCTCTCAAGATTCAAAACAAAACCCCAAGTTAAGAAAATAGACATTACCTTCCCTTGAGCAGCATGTTTTTAATATCAAGTCCGGTCCTTCTTGGATGAGTCTGTCATAATCCTCTAAGATGATGGGAGTCTGAGGCTGGCTTAACTCTCTGAGTTCCTGGATGTTGGCGTTAGGGCTTATGCCAATGGGAATGAGGTTGACATCAGTGGGTAGGCGAGTGATAGTATCTGTGGCAGGATTCGCAGTCACCATGTACACCAAGTGTGGAGCTTGCCTTCTTCCCCTTCTGCTTGTGGCTATAGTTTGTTCAGAGACAAAGTTGAGAGCCTTTCCGGTGTTGGTGGCATTTCCTCCACGGAACTTGATCTCCCTCACCTTCTTAATCAGGTCGGTTTTTGACTGTCTGTCCCTGAAGGAATATTCCACCGTGATTGTGAACGAGTACTGAATGATCGTGATATGAATGGTTTCTTCTCCGATATCCATTTCTCTGATTGTGCGGGCGATGAACTCTTTGACCAAATTGAAATTCTCCTCGCCAACTTTGTCAGACCCCTCAAGTAAAAAAACAATGTCCATGGCCTTATGAACAGAAACTAAAAATGTTGTTGGGGCTGCTCTGGTTAACTCCCAGCCGAGTCTAGGGACTGCGGTGACACTGGGAATGGTTGCAATAGGGGGCTGTGTGGTAAACAACATGGCACTTACTTCAGGCACAAGGCCACAGAAGTAATCAATTATTTCATCCCTACGTTCCCTTAGTTCAAGCACACTGTTCATTATGAAGGCTTTATTCTCAGGTGACTGCCTTTCAATTAACTGAATTTGGTCAATGCTGATATGAGGTCCAAGTCCGACTGGTATTACGGTGATTTTCTTCTTTTTCAAAAGTGGGAAGATCGTTTGAATTTTCTTCGGATCCTTGCTAGCTGTAAGTAAAACAGCGATTCTGGCAGCGTTTGTTCGTGGAGCCTTCCCAAACACATGGAATACAACATACTTAAGTACTTCAGTCGCAGAGGCAACATCTCCACCAGTGTATTTTATATTCTGGACAATCCTCCTCATTTGAGATGGCTTTTTGATATCTTTGAGGCCAAGGTAAATGTGTGAGCCAGTTCGGTATTCTAGGATCGCCAGGCGGATTCTTTTCTGGGAGATGTGGAGTTTTTCCATCATGCCAATTATGAAAGCTTTCAGCTGTTCAAAATCACTCTCAGAAAGCTTATTGGAGCCATCGACCAAGAAAGCAAGGTCCATCATTTTACTGCAAGAGTATTCATAGGTTATCTGATCTTCTGGAGCAATAGTTGTGGTCATTAGGATTTCATCTGTCTCCTTTGGATCACATCTATGACATGTCAAGTTTCGTCCTTCACAATGGCTGGGGGGGGGGGGTCAACAAGATAAACCATTAGAAACAAAAGCAGTATTTCTCCACAAAACTTTTACAGCTAAGGATTGCCTCAAACCAACCAGGCAGAGAAGACACTGTAAACTGGAAAAGAGTTGATTCCTTTCTCCACCTTTGGGCTGTCATTGTGCTAGAATTAGAAACATATGCATAGGAAAGATTTAGAATAATTGTCTGCACCAACAGAATATGTGAGTTGAATAAAAGTCAAGAGTATTGGGTTGTCACAAATCCCTACTGCAGAGTAACACTGGAAATGGCCTTCATTCTCACTCTTCTGCTCATGACTCTCCCACTTACATACTAGGGCCATCAAACTACAGAACTGGTTATGAAAACATGGAGACCCACCAACATTTCAGTATATCTCAAGCATGATTTCCCCCTTGTTCTCGGCATCTTACAAAGAGTTTGTTTCTTCCAGTTGTTAAAAAAGCAGATCTTGAAACAGTGTCAGAAGAGCGAGCACAAGAAGAGTGAGCAGACTAAGTTAAGAGGACAGTTTCTATCTTGATGGAATAATATGCCACGTGTACCTTCTTGAATTTCAGGGGGCTGGACTAGATGACCCACAGGACCCCTTCCGATTCTACAATTCCATGAGTCCACAATTCTAGAACCTAGCCAAGGTAACATTAAAGAATTCTGCATAGTTGTTTAATGTTATCTTAATGCTTAAGTACCATGTTTTGTTTCAGCTGCTCCATTGTTCCACCAAAACATAAGCACAATACTGATATGAAGGGGGATGGGAATGCGCCTTCTTAATTCTGATGCAACCAGGACAATGCAATACAATGCAATCAAGAGAATTAAGCGTCCCTGAAACACTTTTTCTACCAGGAGATGTGGTTACGGTGTGGTCAGGGATGCCGCAGCATATAAAGTCTCCCTCTTGAGGCTTCCAGTTGCTGGAAGCAACAGAGATCTCTCGCTCCTGATTCTAGTTCCCTAGCTGTGCTGCACCTTGCCTGAATTTCCTCTGATGCTGACCTCACACTACTGCCTGACCTTGCCTCTGTATCACGTCAAACCTAGACCGATTCTCCATTCATGATCTTAGTTCCTATATTGGGCTGCTCTGCACCCGTGTCCTAGTTGGTAGTGTTTTGGTAAGAGGCTTTAACCGGCTGGGCCCCTACACCCCAACCCCTGAGGACACCCACTGGAATGTGATGCTTTTGCCTTCCTCTCCTTCTGCCTTTGACTTGCCCCATCCTGGGTGTGACAAGGACTGAGCTGAGGCTTTGGAAGTTCTGAAACAATAGCAGAGCACAATCCACTGACATCATTGGAGATGACGTAATGCTGTTGTGGCTAAGAATTTTTGGAATGAGTACACTGATTTACAGAACTATTGCAATTTATTGTTTTAATCCTGGTGTAAATATTTGGTGGATGACATTCTACAAGCTTCCAATTTTCTTTGGATATTTGCTATAAAAATGCTTTCCTATTGTTTGTACAGGTGGCGTAGGCATCTAAATTAGGTGACAGCTACGTGCAGTGATGTATCCCTGGTGAGGCAAATGTACATAACATTCCAAAACTGCGTGGAGGAAGAAGTTGCAGTGTGTTGCCATGCACGTTAAATCATTAGCAGGAAAACTGTGGTATAGGATTCTAGGCGAGCAATTTCTCTCAAACGATATACTGTTTAAAATGATCCGATTTTACAGTGCTGATAGCCAAGGCCTACATTTCCTCCCTGAATTCAAAGGGCAATCATCATTCATAAAAGGGGCTTTAGGCATCAATCAACCCTCAGATATGTAACGTAAATGCTATATAAGGAATGATTCTGCAACCAGAACCTGGTTTTTACTTGCAGGGTGTCCTTCCTCCAAAACAGAAAACTTTTCCGGAGTCTTGACTAAATACTTGTGCCTTCATGCAAAATCAATACTGAAATTCACTGCTCTGGGTTATTCGCATGCATACATTCATGCTCCCCATGCTCAGAAAAACACATCTGTTTTACCAGGATCGGCAGAGCTCCGCATCTTCAGTGTTCAACACGATCCTCTTCCCGTGGGGAATCCGGAGATTGTCTAATTCACACACCGGGCATTCTTCAAGATCAACACAAGACTCTGACAGCTCATCAAGTATTTTCCCTGTTTCACAAGAAGAAGAAGAAGAAGAAGAAGAGTTTGGATTTGATATCCCGCTTTATCCCGAAGGAGTCTCGAAGCGGCTAACATTCTCCTTTCCCTTAATGTGTAATGTTTGTGTTTATAAAAATTGTGGGGGAAAAAAAAAAACATTCTCCTTTCCCTTCCTCCCCCACAACAAACACTCTGTGAGGTGAGTGGGGCTGAGAGACTTCAAAGAAGTGTGACTAGCCCAAGATCACCCAGCAGCTGCATGTGGAGGAGCAGGGAAGCGAACCCGGTTCACCAGATTACGAGACTACTGCTCTTAACCACTACACCACACAACAATATTAGAAGTTGGGCTTTCAAAAGAAACAGTAAGCAACCATCTATGCTTCCACTTCCCAAGCGCCAATGATAAGGATGGGATGTGACATCTGCTTTCTGAAGGAATTGAGTTACCCACAGGTGGTCCAGTTGAACAACTCAGCCAATCCCATCTCTACCTGCTCTGGGGACCATAGGAGCCAACTCCTAGGGGCCAAGGTCCCTTTGCCTCCCCCAATAAAATATTTGAGCCCCCCCTCAGTTAACATGCATTGCCATTCACATGGTGTGTGTGTGTGTGTGTGTGTGTGTGTGTGTGGTGTTTTGTGATTGATTATGTGAGGTGGGGCTTACCTGCCCCACCCTCAATATTTTATTCCAGTTGGCACCCCTGCTGCGGACAGTAAGGAAGGAAGTCAAGATCATCTGTGTGACTCCTCCTGCTGATGAGAGGGGCAATCCCAAAGAATCTCCAAACCAATCCCCTCCTTTCCCTACCAGAGATTGATAACAAAATTTATTTTCACTTTTGATCGCAGAAGCTAAGCTAGTACGTCCACACCAAAAGGACCATGCTTGCCTGTTGGACAATGAACATGACATCCTTCGACACACTTCACAGGGCAGACCACTGGATCCAAGTGCTGGCATGTCTTTGGGCAGGCAGGGCCACAGCTGTTGTATCGCCATTCACACAGGTATCCTCCTCCTCCTCCTCCTTCCTTGTTCATGTCTTCACAACTTTGTGCTACCAAATATGAAGAAAAAACAAGAAGAGCTGGATGCTTGTGCCATGAAGTAACAACGAGACTGCACATCTTATAGTGCTTCTGAGTATTCAGTATGCTTTGCACGATCCCGTTTATAACAAGCCTGCAATGTGTCAGCACCAGTTATGACCATATTGCAGATGGAGGTTATGAGTTCATGGAAGAAGTGAGATTCAAACTGGAAACTTCACTTCACACTACTATAGATTCCATCTAGGGGTGGACTCAGCGACCTTGATCTGGTTTGTTTCTATGCCTTGATCTGGTTTGTTTCTATAGTCAGGGTTCAGCCTGACTATATATATAGGAATTTCAAAAAAAACCACACAAATTCAGTACTTTTTTTATAAAAAACAACAACAACAGAAAGTGGACAAAAGGCTGTCTTTCATGCTTTCAGTTTCTTTTTACACATATTACTACCTAGCTGAATGCAAAAATTCCAGTGAGTTCCATCCATAGTCATGCCCTAGGTGTGCTTTGCCACTCTGGTATACGCACGAGATCTCAGCACAAACCAAAACATCGCAGTTGCCTCAATTCCGCAGAACATGGGTGGCCATTTCTTGATTTTGTTTTTTGATAGATTTCCCATTAACAGCAACAAACAGAGACTTGGATTAAATGAAACCGCCCTACTCTCCTTTGCCAATGGAAGCGCCGCATATTGAGGTCACATCCACACTGCACAGTTTAACAGTCCTGGCTTCCCCCAAGGAATCCTGGGAAGTGTGGTGTGTTTGCCGCAGAGCACCCTGCCTGCACCCCTAACAAACTCCAGTTCCCATGATTCTTTATCCCATGACAGTTAGCATAGTATGATAGTGCGTTTAATGTGCACATCGCTCGTGCCGTGATTATCCATTCCCCACCCCCCTACAACTCTCCAGCACTTACGGCATAAAGTAGGAGACCTCCAGTGAACCACAACTCCTTTCTGTGCACAGGCATGGGCATAGGCAGCTAGGACGTCACAGAAGCAAGCACAATCCCCAATGGATTCACAAGCACAGGTGTCATACAGGCAGATATCCACATATGGCTCAGGGTCCACCTACAATGAAAGTCATATGGGTTAAATGTGCTAGTAGCTTTCCATTGTATTGAGTAACCAGGGATTATTCTCTCTCTCTCTCTCTCTCTCTCTCTCTCACACACACACACACACACACACAGAGAGAGAGAGAGAGAGAGAGAGAGAGAGCGCTTCTCTCCAATTCAGACTCTAAACTTGTCTGTGTAATAGGATTTAAGTCATGTTAATAATGAAAGGATAGAGCTATAAAGGGTTCTGGGCTAGAGCATCAATTGTCTTGAGACAGGAAGCTTGTAGAACTGATCAAGACTCCCAAAATGGGAGGGAGCTTTCTTGAGGAGAGTGACAGGGGCAGGAAGGAAAAGGACAGTAAAGGGCTGGAGCTCAAAGATGGTTGCAAGCTCCAAACCTGAGTGCTTTATTGAAACATAGAAGGGAGAGGAGGTTTCTATAGGGTGGGGAAGAGAGGATGTGTCCCTTCCCCACCCCCAACCACTGATATATATATATATATATATATATATATATATATATATATATATTATATACATACATACACACACACACACACACACACACACACAGTATATCCTTCCCCTTATACTGAGGGAAGGACCTCTTTTTCTTGTTTATGTTGCTTTGTTTCACAAAACCCTCTAAACTTCAGCCACTTTGGAAGCCAGAGCTGGTATGTGGTCTTTCCCTGCCAAGCTTCCTTGCGGAGTGGAGGGCTTCTGTGGGGGCTGTGAAGGGCTTTTATCAGCTGGGTGGGGTGTCTGTGCAGAAGGGTGCAGCCTTTGTTCGCCTAGAACCAGGTGCCACCTTCTCAGGTGGCAGCAGTCCCACCCCGCCTGATGGGTGCACGCTGGCAATCTCAGCATTCCCATAAGCAGAGGGAGAGTTGAGTGAGTAGGGGTGCCAAGATGGCAGGAGGGGTGGGAAAACTTGTTGGGACGTCTTTGTCACTTCTTGCCCTGCTGTTGAATTCCCAAAGCATGACTTCTGAGAGCTGTGCCTGCTTCCAAACCTGTATCGTTGTTTGCCTGACAGGATACCTCTTACTTTCTTACAAGGAAGAGCTTCTGTCTCTCTGTGTGTTAGGTGGGAGCCTGAATAGCCATTCCCTGTTATCAAGATGGCCAAACCTTCCCGCCGGAGCGGTACCTATTTATCTACTTGCACTTTGATGTGCTTTCGAACTGCTAGGTTGGCAGGAGCAGGGGCCAAGCAATGGGAGCTCACCCCATTGCAGGGATTCGAACTGCCGACCTTCTGATCAGCAAGTCCTAGGCTCTGTGGTTTAACCCACAGCGCCACCCGCGTCCCATATACAGGCCCTTATTTGGTATCAAAAATGATGGTCAACACTGATTATCCGATAACCCGCGGCAGCAACTCGTTTCTTTCTTGTATTGAGGAATTATTCTTATTTGCTTGTTCTTTGCAACAACATGTTTCTTCTATTTCTTCATAAAATATTGGAAACTTACCTTTCCATAAGTTCAAGGCAGCTTTAATCATCTCAAAATTAAAACAAAGCAAACAAAGTAAACTGAGTGGCCTCCACCTTACTTTCTATGATGATTTGTCCAAACTCCATTTTCTGGGTGTTCCTGAGTCTGATAATGGGAAGTGAGCTAGACTGGGAGCAAAGTGCCTTGGACAATGGAGGGAAGAAAGGAGAATTCAACTCTCCTCTCCTACATCCACAAAAAAACCCACATCCTCATCATCTGCGAATGCAGCAGAACACGACTAAGCATACAATGTTGTCATGGGCACCATGTCTAGTTTAGCCCTTAGATCCCACAGCAAATAGGATGAAGGATTATTGGGGGAGGCATAGCTGTCAACTGTCCCTTATTTGGTGGGAAAGTCCCTTATCCCAGCGCCATGTCCCGCTGCTGTCCCTTATTGATGATGTCCCTTAAATTTCCCGGGTTTCAAAGGAAGCAGCTCCTCTCCCGCCCTCCCTGCCAGCCAGGGAGGAGGGAGGCTCCAACTGTGTTGCTTGGCTGTGTTGCTCACCCAATAAGGAGTCTAAGAACGACTGGGGGGTGGAGCTTGCATGCCTTGTGCTGATCAAATCGGCCGCGTTGCCTGGGGACTTGCCTTTGCTCAGCGCTTCCCAGCGGAGAGGTGACGGTAGTTTTCCTTGCTGCATCCCCTTTGCCAGGTTGCTGTGCTGTGGGAACCACCGCTTGAGGCTTCGTTTGGCTGCTGGCTGGGCTTTCTGCCTTTGGCTTGGAGGGGCTCAGAAGCCGAACATACCTGTGCTGGGAAAATCCCTTATTTTGGCTGCTGATCCCTTATTTTCGAGGCTGCTGGTCCCTTATTTTCAATTCTGTAAGTTGACAGCTGGGGGGGGAATGCTGCTGCTGCTGCTAAATATTTGTCCGGGTAATGAAGCCGGCAAAAGAGAGAATGAGAACTGGATAAGAAGCTTCTTACCAATTTTTTACACTCTTTGAAGGTATTGCTGTTCAGGACGTTGCAAGACGTTTCCACCATCACTTGCTTCACCACATTGCCATTGCACAATGAAGATGCCAAGCTCTGTCCCTGAGAAAGCTTAACAAAGGGAAGTGATATTGACATGTTGTTATTACTATACCATATGTGGCTACTTAACATTCATCTGCTTATTTATTTAGCCTATATGTAGCAACAACGGTGATAATCCAATCTAGGAAGTCACCACCACTGGATCCCAATAAACAGACAGGGACAGATCTTAATATCTGACATTTTATTTCTTTATGAAAATGGTAAGCTGAGCAGTTTATGGTTGGGCATGTGGAAGTAGCTGTGCAGTTCTTGCACCCTGTCCTATATTCACAATTTTAACAAGTGTACATACAAAAAGGCAAATAGGTAAGTTAAGAAGTACATTTGAAAACCATGATAGCAGAATCTGCTATAAATAAAAAGGTAAAGGACCCCTGACAGTTAAGTCCAGTCGTGGATGACTCTGGGGTTGTGGCACTCATCTCGCTTTACTGGCCAAGGGAGCCAGCGTTTGTCGGCAGACAGTTTTTCCAGGTCATGTGGCTATCATGATTAAGTTGTTCTGGCGAAACCAGAGCAGCATACGGAAACGCTGTTTACCTTCGCACCAGAGCGGTACCTATTTATCTACTTGCACTTTGATGTGCTTTCGAACTGCTAGGTTGGCAGGAGCTGGGACCGAGCAACAGAAGCTCACTCCATCATGGGGATTTGAACCGCCAACCTTCCGATTGGTAAGCCCAAGGCTCAGTGATTTACACCACAGCGCCATAGGGACCTCCAAATACAGATAACAAACTGGAAACCATGAAAAGCCAGCTTCTCAGCATCTGGCCATACACTATCAGTTTTTAATTTCATACTGAAGCCTTAGAAGACTTCATGTTTGAATTAATTGTGGGACGTATCTTAATTTATTGATCACTTGTTTTTATCCATTGTCTTACTTGTATGATGTTAGCCGCTCTGAGCCCAGCTTTGGCCGGCGAGGGCAGGATATAAATAAAAATTATTATTATTAATAATAATTTTTTTACCAGACTCACAATCATAACTGCTTTAGCTTAATCTCCAACAATAAAATCATGGTTGATGCAAACTTCAAGGCAAACGCATCACAACCATCAACATGTACTTTATTTTGTCTTCAGAATTATTTATTATTCTTTGATTAGATTCTTTGTTGAAAGGTGTTAGGGGGGCTTAGACAATTCTCCAAGTCATACCCATGAGGCAAGGATCAGGGCCACACACAAATCCTAGAACATTAAGCACATCCAGAGCATTCACTAGACCTATCTATCTGGAGATTTAAAAAGTGGAAGTGTGGACAGCTGATTCTGCCCCCTTCCCATTCTGTTCACACCAGCAATACCTTTGTGACATCAGCACACTGTGAATTAACTTTCCAGGAATTCCCAAAGTCACTTGGATCCACTTCAAGCTGGTTTTTGCTGCTGGTCAAGTCATTGTTTTGGATACCATCAAAATTGCCACACAGACCACATACTTTATCCTTGAAAATAAACAAAACACAATAACATACATTTATTAAAATGATTTTTGCACTCTGATATTGTTGTTGTTGTTGTTATTTACTAAATGTCTATACCGTCCTTCATCCAAGGATCACAGGGGAGTTTAGAATATAAAAACATAAAATGTGTATCATAATAACAAACAAAAATACCCCATCACCACCGTTCAAAAGGCCATAGATTGTTAAATCAGATTCCTAATTAGTTTACTTAAGAAAGTTTTTGCCTTGTACCTAAAGATATGTAATGAAGGTGCCAGACGAGCCTCTCTGGAGAGAGCATTCCACAATGGGGAGTCACCTGAGAAAAAGCCCTTCTCGTGTTGCCACCCTCCAGGTGTCTCATGGAAGAGGCACCGAAGAATGGCCTCAGATGATAATTACTGGGTCTGAGTTGGTTCGTACGGGGAGAAGCTGAGGTCAGAAAGCTCTGAGAACAACCGAAAATATATTTGCTCCGGCAGGCTTTCCAATAAGTGGACCTCTACCACAAATGTCTACTTTGAATGGTTTTAATTTTGCTTTCATTTGCTCTTTTTGTGATTTCAACAGTTATTAATTATCTTTCATGTATACTGCCTAGACACAGTTGTTTAGAAGGCGCTTAATAAATTGATAGTGGTGATGATTAGGTCCAAGGAGTTCCTGGCAGTGTGGAGGTGAAATGTAATTCACCCCATGTTCTCTTATCTTCACAACAAGGCAGGTTAGGCTGAGAGGGAGGGACTGGCCCAAGTTCATGGCTGAGGTGGGCTTTGAACCTCAGTTTCCTCAGTGCTGGGTTACCAAATAGGCAGAGCAGGCAGATTTGTGGGCCCTGCGACAACAAATCAAAATAATATTGATTTAATCTTGAAAGAAAATTACAACCAAGCTGTCTTAGTTCAATGTTATCCCACTAGAAGAAGAAGAAGAGTTTGGATTTGATATCCCGCCTTTCACTCCCTTTAAGGAGTCTCAAAGCGGCTAACAA